TCTCACCATCATCTATCCGGCTGCTTCTCTCCTTTCTTGTCTTCAACGAGCCGGCGAAGTCTGTTGCAGCTCCATCTACAACCTTTAAGATCTCTACAACGTGCGACCCCAGCGTCTCGCCTTCTGTGCCAATGCATCCCCATTCTCTCACGTCTTTTGTCGTCCATTTCCCTCCCAGCAGCCCCGATACTTCCTCCATTCACCCCTTCTATACCCCGCTTCTACCCTACCGTCCTATCTGCCCTACCGCTGGTAGAAGCTTCGACCCGCATCATCTCTGACCTTCTACCATTCCACCACACACCAACCCTGCCACCGCTCTTCCAACTCCCCGTCCTCGGTCCACGGAGAGCGTGGCAACAGCGGCAGCCTACCGTATCCCGCACAGTCCCACCCACTCAGCGTCCTCGCTCCGTCTCCTGCACTTTGATGTCCCTGGGCCCCCGCGGGCCGCTTCCCCAGCAATTGAATTAGCGGAGAAACTGTTTGCACCCTCCTCCCACGCTCCGGCCCCCTTTCCCAGTTCCGGTAGTGGCGGTGGCGGGGCTGCGAAGGAGTCTCGGCTGCTCGAGATGGACGTCGCGGTCTCTCCGGCACTTCGTGAACAGACCGCTCCGCGAACTTGAGGTCTTCCTGCATTTGTCGCGGGGGTCAATTTAGTTTCAACAGCTGCGTTGCTGTATTAGAAGCATCGGTGTGTCCGGAGCAGTGAGTTGAGAGATGCCTGTTCCGTGCGGCTAAGCAGAGCGCGAGGTCCCGAGTGGAACTGGTCAGTGTACAGATGGAATGCATTAGGGGGGAAGGGAGAGGCGTTTGGAGGTAGTGGAAATCTGGATGTTTGGGAATAATATTGAAGGGTCATTGAAAACTTACAGTGGGCAAATATTCGAGTAAGAAGATGTATGTTAGTTTACATTGATTGATTATGTGAATTTCGATGACTCCACGTACATTCGACATCTAGAGTTTTATAATATATTTCAAACAGAGTTGTATGATCTAGTTTGATATTCTTAACTTTGAAAAATAGGAACAGAATTCTACATATAAATGCAGGAAAAGTCTAATCAAAGATTTCTGTGATTATGGTGTTTGTAACACCAAATGTTTTGGAACATTATCACTTACGAACTATCTCCAAGTCACCTTCATTTAAGTAAATTCTCTTAGTTAAATGGGGCCATTGTTCCTTAGTGTGTTTATATTATAGCTTTGTTCTGAGATGTATCTTTGCTTATCCAAGCCACAGTGTATGTGAAACGTTCTTAACTCAGCCTGCGACCAACTCTCATCCTTTCGCATTACTACTCTCTCAACGACTTACATAAATTAGCTCAAAACACAGCAAGCAATGCAAGGCGGAGCATGGGAGCGGGAATCCAATGCGGCTTCATCTGCTCCTGGGGAGATGAAGAAGAGGGTAAAGGCAGAAGCCGCAGTAAGACTCAAAACCACCGACTTCGAGCGCATGCGGTTACGCAATACCTCCTTTTCTGCTACATGATGCGGTTTCTGAGAGAGAGAGAGAGAGAGAGAGAGAGAGAGAGAGAGAGAGAGAGTAAAGCGCGAAGAGATTGAGGGAGGTCAGAGAGAGGTACATTCCATGTTCACACAGAATATCAGAGAGAAGGGGGAGTCAGAGAGACAGAGAGAGGGAGGGAGAAAAGGTGGGTGGGAGAAAGGGAGAGAGGAGGAATCAGTCAGTGTGACAGTGAAAGAGTGCGAGAGTGAAATAGTGGGAAGTTGTGAGAGTGGGAGGTTGGGAGAGTGGGAGGAGAGGACGGACAGAGAGAGTCGAGGTAAGAAACGTGATGTTTTCAGTACAATATTCTGCATAAAAGAATAAGAAATAAACCGCTTCAACAAATGGATGGTACCGACGTTTTCGTAATATCATTGTATTTTGTGAGCTCATTTTTCATATTTCTCATTTCATTTCTTATTTCGCATTAGAAAGTAGATTACAAATAATACGAACGTCGGAATGCTGATAGTCTATAGACCCTCATCGCGTCGAGAGAATTAGATTAATCCCTTTAGATAAGCATAAACGCACGGAGGAGGTGCGGCGCGACAAGGCGAGCGAGCAAGCGAAGCGGAGGCGGAGGCAGCGGTGGTGGTCGGGAGAGCTCCGGCAAGCAATGCGCCCCCTGCGGCTCGCGGTGCCGTCGCCTGTGAAATCCGTCCGCGGAGATCCCACGCCAGACGACGACGGCGCGGCGCTTCCGCTCCGCCGCTGATGGGATAACCGCTCCGTCCTTCCATCACCAGCCCCGGCCCCACTCCCTCCTCTACCTCCCAACGCCCATGCAAATTCCGTCTCCTGCGCCGCCTTTACCACGCCGACCTGAGACACTGACTCAACCACCAATGTGCCAGCGTCAACTTCTGCGTCCTCTTCTCAACCTATGTCCCAGAGTCAACTGTCAATTTCCTACTCAACCTTTGTCCTCCAACTCAATCTCCGTTCCCGATCTCCCCCAACCCCCCATCTCCGTCTAATACTCTGTCTTCTACTCAATCTTCGTCCCTGCCTTGACCTCCGCCATCGTAACCTTCTGCTTCCCTCAACCTCCTCCTCGCTTCGCCCTCCTTCCCCCTTCAAATTCTTCCCTGCTTCATCGTCGTGTTCACCCTTCTCACCTAAACCTTAGCCTTGTCCTAATCTCCTAACTCCACCAATATCCTCTTCACCTCTATTTATTCCAGGCTACCTCCTCCTCATATCACTCCTACTTCAATTTCGCCTCGATCTCCTCTCATCATCGTTTTTCCCTTCACCCTCACACCCTCCGGAATGGTCATCTGATATTTCTGACATCCCACCCACCAGAGTTGCTTTCCACCATGCGTTCCAAATTCTCCTCAAACCAAAGAACATTCCCCATTCAAATGTTGCTCTCACCTCCTACTCCACATACGCCCATTTGTAACCTCTTTCATGCCTCTACATCCTCCACTACCACGATCTCCTCTACATCGTGTACCCGGATAGAAATATCCCTACCGACATAAAAGCTCTTTCGCAAACACATGCGTGGGACCGCATTGAAACGAGATATCGCATTGTGAAGAGAATACTCTGACGTAAAACGTGAATGATATTTCGAGAAATATAATTTACTTGGTGACTGTGAAATTAAATATACTGAGAGTTTTAAATACAACGAGAGGCAAACTTGGAAGAAATACAATGCTTTCTGATTTTAAATAATCACCGTAAAATGAGAAAATAATTTCGATGAAAATGGTACAAAGGGACAACAATATTATCGCCAAAACATTCCATATTATTTTGTGATTTCAAACATGATGGCATCATACAACTTCAGCAGCGAATACCATGCGTGAATGTTGATAATATTGATAAAATATACTTTCTTTCGCAATACACATAACTTCAATTTACTGGCGATTTTCTGTAATGAAATGAACTCCAATCACTCCCAGAGATACATTGATCACCATTTTCTGATTTTGCATCTTATCTTTCACTCACGAGGGGTCTCCAAGAATGATTAATAATTAAAGAAATAATTGCGCCCGACTAAATGTGACTACATAAGATCATGCAGCAACGTGAATGAAATATCCGGAAAAGCGTGACGTAAACATCATGTTGACATAATGACCAGACGTTTTTCCCTCGTGGTAGGACATGGGAAACAACTTTAAACATCGAAAATTTCTTCCAAGTGAATGTATACTATAAACTTAATCGACCTATTAAACTGAAAAATATTTTCTAATTAAGTGCATAGGTTTCCGTTCATCAAGTCCGTTGGAACTTCTCCCAGGTCCACATCGAATGCCTCTAAACCAGTCACTAGCTAATGGAATCTTCTGCGTGCTACACAGGTCCAAATAACTGCGACCTGTTCATCGTCACGAACAATGGGAGGCCTTGACACTTTTACACACTTTTTAAGTGTATCTACATAGTTGAAAATCTAGTATTGTCATCGACTCTCTTTTAGTTTTCGCCTTACGTCATAAGAGGAGAAAGTATTGTAATCGTGCGCCGGAAAACGACGATATTTCACCAGAAAACTCTTATTGCCTGGTCCTGGAAACCAAATAGTTCGTACGTTTTGTTTGCAAGTGAAGTAATCTAACAGATGACATACAAGTACACCAGTAGCGAGTTTGCGATTGAAGCGTAAAATGTACATATCATGTCTTGGAGCCGAAATAATAATTGTGAAATCGTAAACTCATGATTAAGTCGTTATCAGGAAATGCTGTTAAGAGAATAATTATTGATAGTTTACTGTATAGTTATTACTAATTACATTAATTTTGTTAAGGTTCTTTTAATCGCTGATGACTCCAGTTTCATTGTTAATTGGTCTCGAATTTTTGTTACAATTGTCATAGTCGTCAGACATTAAACGTACTAGTCAAGAGAGCATACTCAATAATTTTCTTACTTTATTTTTCTTATGATTAATAGAAGTATTATATTATGAGTTCTTAAATGCACATACGCTCGTATCTATTCATAAAAAAATTAACGTATATGTTTGCATAAACTATTAATCCGACAATTCGATTTTTTCAAAATAATCTGCATTGATACACCTTAATTTGTAATTGTTCAATTTTTCACTTTCTAAATATTTCGAAATTTCCGTCCTCACTCTCTTTAAATCCTGTAAACCGGGGTTTAAGATGCACTCTTTCAGATTTTCGCAAATCGTGAGAAAATTGACTAGATACAATTGCTTTGAAAGTCCATACAATTCCGTACTATATGTATCTAATTCATTCTGAGAAAGCGCAGTAATGTATCGAGTAAATCAAGACCAATTTGAAAATTAGTACGTCCGGGGGGAGATAGAGGGGCAAACAGGGTGGGGCGAGGGAGTAGGAGGGCAGAGCGGGTTGGAGTAAGGAACAGCTTAGTGCAATGGGTCGAAGCGCGGTAGATTGGGAAACGGGGGAAATGGGGAGGGGGGAGCATGACTGGATGAGGGGTGAAGCAACACGTGCGGGGTGTGAGATATAAATAATTATTTCTATTTGACACTGCAGGTATATAGAATTCCTTTTACTACGAGTAAATTTACCTCTGAGATAAATAATTGCACGGAAACGCCGGGGTTACTTCAACTGGAGAAAAGCAGTTGTGCAATTCGTAATAATGATAAAACATCCGCAAGAGGGAGATCAAACATGAACGCACTTTCTTACGCAAAA